TGGTTTATTTACCATAATTTTATTATTGAAACTGCCCAACTGTCTGTGACAGCAACGTTTGCCAATGTTTCGCAAAGGTTTCTGTATGCCACCATTTGCGCTATAATGCCCATAGATAATCCAATATCCACACCAGGACCGTAGCTAGAAGTTGCTACCCTCCCCAGAAAAATTTAATACAATACATAATATTACATATATTTGGGTCAATGGCTGTCATCTTCCCAGAACACACCACGCGCGTGGCTTTGCTACTCCCCAGGCAAAATGGGTAAGCTATGGTCCTGCACACCCAACATCCAATAACCAACATCCAAAATTATAAAGATTTCATTACAGGTAGTTAAGCAATCCAAGGGTTAACAGATTCCCAGATCACAAGTAATACAGCCAATTCACCCAATGACAAAGTATCATACCTAGCACAACCATCAAACTACATATTTTCATCACACATTACTCGTACGACAACAACACTCATTTTCTACACATAAAACTACATCTAAAGCAAAACCAATGCGAATCACGTGAGTAAAAATCAATAGTATTCTTGTCATTAGTATCTTAATAAGTAGTGCTTTTAAATATTTTAAAAGTGCCATAACTTAGTAAATGTGTGAAACGTTGCACCTGAAAACATAAAACAATTATTTTGGACTAACGACAGCTCACGCTGCTCAGATGAAATTATCAATGGTCATCTATAAATTCAATATATAAATACAATTCAATTTTTAATCGAGCAGTTACTAGAAATCTAGGCTTTATCAAGGTGCTTTATTTGATACCGCACAACCTTTCATTATATTTCACTTTGGTGTAAGAAATTATGCACAAGATTCAATGTAAATAGATTGCAACATGTTCCATTGTAAAAATCACATAAAAACGCACGTGTTACCTTCTACACAAGCTAGAAATAGCTTGCCACTGATTCCGAAATTACATTTCCACCTGTAGATAGCACTGATTCATTTCTCAATAAACACCAAGGTACAACCTAGAGCATACCATCCATTCTTGTGATAAGCGCATATGATATAGAAATACCAGATGTGGCTGATATGAAACATAATATGATTGATTTAAACAGAAGACCATGTATCAATATAAAATTTGCCGTTTGGGGGGTTTTGTTGCAAAACTACAGCTTAATTAAGGGTGCAAGTAAAACTGTTAAGACTGGATGGTCAGAGAATTTACATCTCATAACTATATTAATCTTCATTATCAAAAATATCAACTCTATTAATTCATTAAAATTAACAGTCCACTAGTAGGACCTGCTAAGACTCATACTGGTAAAGATACAGTTTTTTCTAGCAAAATGAAATTCACAACAGCGTCATTCAAACGTTCATATACACGACTGAATACCTGGGACGTATACTGATAAATGTTTTTTGTTCACATGTAATGTTCGTTTTTGAAAACCTGAGAATGCAAAGTAAGGCCTATGCATGAAAGACCAACATTGGTGAAACTAAATATGACACGATTATGGACAGGAGCCTTTGCTCCAAAAAAAAGCCTCACCACTGGCTCATGTTTTACTTGTCTATAAAATGTCCATAACTGGTCTAGCAATACTGAATATATGTAGACAAATATTGGCAGGCATGTGCCAATTCTCCTGTGATCATAAATGGAAGATAAACTATACATTACAACCATACAGCAGCCTCACTATTGGAGCTGACTGAAATGCTGCGCTTTATTCCAGACCACTACATGGTAGCAAAGTGTCTCACTGCCTCTCTCTGTCTCTCCCCCTCTCTCTCTATCTAGCTCTCTCCCCCTTGTCAAAACATGCCAAAAATCCTTCCATCGTCAGATTCCCAGTTGCAGCTGCACTAATACTAAGCAGCCCAATATATCCAGCATCACTGCCATCGTCTGGTGTGCGTCTACCTTATAAATCCAACTGATATTTGGCCGGGGTACAGTAGCGCTCGCCTATATTGTCGTCTCGTGTGTGTCAGACGACTCTGTCCCAGAGGAGATCATGGAGGAACGATCCGGCTTGTTCCCGGATTTCTGGGAAGGTGTGAGCAGGTTTGACGACGATGTTGTCTGACGCACGAACGAGCGACCCAGCGTGGTGGCGCCACTCTCCAGTATCCTTCTCTTGTCGTCTGCAAGACAATGGAACATAAGTTGTGCGGTTATGCTGGCTGGGTGTATAACATAGCGTGCTTAGTGTTGCAGAAATTACTATTAGGTAGTACTGTCTAACCCTACGTAGTTGGGTAATGATCCACATGTACGGTACTACTCCTAACCACATCAACAAGGTTTCATAAAGAGTGGAAGTAATAACAGTCTTG